TCCTGTGGCTGCAGCCCAGGATTTGGTGGGTTTGTGGCCTGTGAGCTCACACTGCAGCTCATGGGAAGGTTCCCATCAACCATCACAACCAAGTCTTTCTCCTCAGGTGCTGTTCTCAATGACTTCCCCACCCAACCTGTAGGTTTGCCTGGGATTACCATGACCCATATGTAGGACCTTGTACTTTGCTTTGTTGAACATCATGAGGTTAGCATTGACCCACCTCTCAAGAGTGTGTCACGGTGTCTCTGAATGGCACATCCCTTCCCTCCAGTATGTGACTGCCCACACAACTTGGTGCTGCCAGTGAACTGCTGAGGTGCCCTCGATCCACTCTCCATGTCACCAACAGAGATGTTGAGCAGTGTCAGCCCCAGCACTAGCTGCTGAGGGACACCACTTCTCCTAGACTCCACACAGAGACCATCTTTCATCAACAGCTGATCCTTTCCAATATTGTATGGCACTTACATAGGTACTCTGCCATTTCTCTTTGCTTTATCTCTCCAAATATTTCAACTTCTCTATTTTCATGTTGTGTTGGCATCAGCTCACAAACAAATTGTTTCTGCCCTGAGTAGGGAGAGAACTTCCCAAGCTTCAACTCTCATCAATATTTATACTTTCTTCTTTACAGAAAGAGGAAAATATTACAAGTGGAAACATCACCAGAGCAAGCAGTGGCTCTAAGCAAACACAAATCAGAAAAGAATTCTTATGGGCTTTAAGGCAAAGGCAAAGCAAGAGCTTTGTAAAGGCATTTAAACAAACAGTTTGTGTTGTTGAGCATTCAGCTCTCCTGAGATGGCTGTTGAGGAGCTGACTTACCCAACAACCCATCCTCTAGAGGCAGAGTGGGGCAGACAAAACTCAGAAAGCAAAAGAAAATGATAAATGTTTTCCAAATGAATGTATCTGGGAGAATATGTGCATAATCCACCCAGCTGTGTTTGTATTAAGTTGGTCAGGAGTGTCAGTCACTTGGAAACCTGTGAGGAGTTGATCGCCCTTGTCTGAGATCCTGCATCCAGGTTTGGTTTCTGTCCTTAAAACCAGGAGCTAAATTAAATCATTCCAGGGAGGTTTTTCCTTTGAATATTCACTAAATAACAAACAGTTCATGTTTTACCACACAAAACCTTAGCAACTTGTTCTTTCCCATTTAATTGGAGGAAACACAGCTCTTAATAACAGTAGTAATAATGAAGAATCAAACCAAAAGCAAGTTAAAAGCCCTTACTTGGAACAATGAGCTCAATTTCCTCTGACATGGCAGTTCCCAGCACATTGGAGGCAAAGCAACGATATTTCCCTTGGAAATTGTTGATGATTCCACGGTTTTGAATCACAAAAGTTCCAGAGTTGTTAGAGGTAACTATCCTTGGGTCAGATAATAAATCAAATGGTTTTCCATCCTTAGTCCAGTTAAAGCTGAAAGGCAATCCAAATGTTACAAGGGACAGGTCCCAGAGCAGCACTAATTCAGGGGTAAAAATGGGTCCAAGAGGGTGTTACTAACATAAAAGGAACAAACTGCTGTAAGAGGAGAGAACTGAATGGCACAATGACCATTGTGCTACTCTAACTTGTGTTAGCTCTTGGGCACGGATCTCCTCTCGGACACTTTGCTTTTGGATAACTGATTGTGACATGAAATAAGAATACAGAGCTCAAGGCAAGGACAACAAATGAGAGAGACCATCTGTGAAAGCAAGAGCCATGTGCTGAAAGGAACTGGAGGTCTGCAAAGAGCTCTGTTTGTGGAAGAGTTGGTGTTTTGCGCTGGCAAGGACTGACAGGATCTTTTCAAGCCATCTTCTATGGTTGAATCCAGAAGAAACTTGATTGAGTTTCTCCTAGCCACAGAATCACTTGCAGCTTTGATGCTATGGAGGTAGCATCAATGATTAGATAGATTTTGAATAAGTAGATTTTGATTAGGTAGATTTTGATGAATGCTGAAGTATTTGCAACTGGAATTCTCAGATAGATTGAGATTTGTCTAAACTGATTCAAAATCAGACAGAAATTACTGCATAACATCCATTTAGAAGAAGAAGTACCTCTTATGAAAGAGTATTATCAAAAAAGAATAAATTAATGTCAACAGAAACATATGTTTTGGCACTTCACTGGTACTGGCAAAACTTCCTTGCTGCAGTAGGGAGGGAAATATAGGTCCTATCACCTAACCAGCACTATCACATCATTAAAATACACCACAAAACTTTCATTGATGCACTATGTACGAAACAAAGGGAGTTGGTTATCATGCTACAAATCCCCATTCAGAGCTCAATTAAAAATGATCAAGTAATCCTGATAGAAAATAAAAAATTCCTTTTTAAAGTTTCAACTGTGCTGCAGAGAAAGAAGGGGAGGATTAAAGAGCAAAAATGACATGCAAAGCAGCTATTAATTTAGCCCATACACCACTCAGTGGTGAAAGCCTCAGGAGGAGCTTTCATTGTGAGACTATTACACTCTTGTTAATCGCATTTTCATTAAAAATCTTTCTACACTGGTGTAAAAAAACCTAAAGCTTATCTCTGGATATTGATTTGAATAACGCTTTATGTGTCTGTTTATAACATCACCATGGCCACGATGATGTTAGGTACAGACAAGGTATCTGATAACATGCAAATGTGCTGCCTGAATACACAGTTTAATGTGGTTAGTAGTTTTAGGGTTGCTGTGGAAGAGTCAGAAGAACATCTGGAACTCTCTATTACCATTACACATCTCCTGTGTTTAGCAGCACAGCCCAGACAGGGTTTGAAATCATGAGGTGAACTCAGCACGTGCCAGAGAATTGAAATATTTCCCAAGAAGAAAAACCATGTTGGAAGTGATGAAGCAACAAAAGCTGAATGGAAACCTAACTCTCAGTCTCACTGATGATGATGAGCAGGTTACTGTGCATCAGCCACTCCTCCTCTCCTCACCGCCAGAATGATATTTGGCAAAGGTTAAAAGCAAACTCAGTTTCTGCTTGCTGCTCCAAGCAGTACTCACGTGGGCTGTGGGTTTCCTCTGGCTTCACATTTGATGGTAAAGTCCTCATCAAAGGGGTAAGCAACCTGTGTGTGGGATTGCCCCGTGATCGTTGGAAGCTGCGAAACTGAACACAAAGAGGTATCAGGTTAACACGTCATTCCAGCAAAACTCAGCTCCCTCGGGCCCTTCCTTCCAAAGGGACCATGGCAGGGTTGTCTTACTCCTGCAAAAAGTGAGCCTTGCCTTAATAAACGACGACGATCATCGTCTTCTGGCATGGAGAATAGTCGCCGGTCCTCAAACTGATCACTGTCACTGCCTTGGCTGGAGGGAGGTTTGCAGCATGGACTCTGCCCAGCCAGGCACCCACAGGCACCACCTGAGCACATTCCCATGGCCAACCCACCCAGAGGATAGCTGGGACCATGCTGAAGCTAGAGCCAAAGCTGGAGCCAAAGTATGGGGCTGTGCACTGGCACCATTATTCACTGGTGAAATCAACAACTGGCTTTTTAATCCAGACACAGATTCACACACATGAAGGAGCAAATTCCTCTCTCCACCCCGGCTAAAATTGCCAGGAAACCCATGGACTGCAAGGCTGAGTTAATACCCCCTCCAGGGTAGAGCCCTTACACCACACAGTCATGCAATGATGTTGCACTAACTTCTCTTTTCTGAGGGAAATAAAGTGTTGCAAATGCTTGTGTGACAGAGCCACAGGAGGCAGAATGCTCCCAGCAGTGCATAATAGGATCATCACATTGTTATAAACAGCCAGGAAGAGAATTAAGATGCTCTTTGGTTGCTGTTGTAAGTATAGGAAGCTCAAAGCTGGAGTGAAACGTGTCTGGCCATACCATGTGCTCTCAAAGACAAACACTTCCAAGCCAGTCAGCTTCAGTGATCAGAGTAACTCTTTTCTTATTGAAATATAAAATGTTTCATTAAAGCACATTAAGGCCTAGGTGGTTTCCTCGTGCAGCTGCATAAAAGCAGTGCCATGCCCAGGCACTCTGTCCTGCACTTCACAGTCACAGCTCCACTCCTGCTTCATTTGAACACGAAGAACCACTGCAGGACCTTCCTGAAAAAAACCCTTTACTTCCCAAGGGAAGTTTGGATAGCTTTAGGAAGATATCCTCTAAAGGTGCTTGATTACCTTCCCCTTTGCAGCCTGCAGACTCCAGAGTGCTAACAGCTCACAGCAGATCCACAGGATGCCCTGAAACTGCTCCGTGTCCTGCTCTGAGGCCACGGCAGCCAAATCCCTGCAAAGAGCCTGTATTTCTTTTCCCTCGAGTTTATTTATTTATCCCCAACATAATTCATAAACCCCAATGTCACTGAGGTTTGCTTTGTTGACTTTCTTTACCCCGTTCAAAAACTAAGCAGTAAACCCTAGTCTGCAATTCTGGTCCATTTCTGTTTGAAAAATGCAATGCCTGGGAGGTCTGGGCTACACTCCAGGCACTGGGGTCCACTGGCTTTCGTCGTATTGCTCCCTATGAGCCTCATCCCATATTTTACCTGTGTCCTGAAGCACACCAACTGTGTAAAACAGGCAGTTTGAATGCATCACAGGCAGAGAGGGACAGAGGAGTTGCTCCCCAGGGTGGTACATGGTGTACAAAATGCTTCTCCGGGGACCAACACTGGCCCTGAGACATACACCTGCTCCTTTTCTAGACTGGAATATGTACATCAAACAAGCTTCAGGGAGATTCAGAGCCAAAATGAGGATTTTATGTGAAGGACAAACCTAAACCCTCGGAGCTAAGCGACGTCTTGGATCACAAACACCAGATAGATGTTATTACGCAAGTTTACTGCTACATTTAGACAGGTCAGAACAGAGTGGCTTAGTTTTTTATCACACCTGAATTTCTCAAAGTCCTGGGAAGGATTAAATTCAAAATGGAACAACTGGAAGATTTAATATGTTTTCTTCAGGGAAAATTTAAAACAGGGAAAACAAAAGAGAACAGCTAAGTGTACAGCAAATAGACACGACTCACCTGATAATGGTATTTCAACAGCTGCTGCCAAACTCAATACAAAGAAAATCAGGCATATGGTGATCCCTTTTGTGCTTAACAGCATCTCCATCACTCTCCTGTAAACAAGGAGCCCAAACAGAATGAGAGATACCTTCTGCTTCCTCTCACTGTCACTTCAAATCAGACATAGGGTTGTGGATGTGGAAGCCTAGTGAGGAGAAGAAAGGTCTTCTGTATTAGCCTGCCATATGAACTTGCTTCTAACAAGGTTATAAAATTAAAGAAATGCTTCAGGATTTGCTGCTAAATTGCAAATTGTTCTAAGTGGTCCAATTTCCTCTCCTCTCCCCATCCGCTAGCTTCAAAAACAACCCCTATTAAATTTGCAGCCAAAAAAGTACATGCACTAAAGTACAACTCTATTATAGCCCAGAAGTAGCTTTCTTTTTTTGCAACTGAAAGTTAAAGTACCACATATTTGTAATCATTCCAGTTCATAAATTTTTCTAATGAGAGTTGTGGAAGCTGGAAAGTAATGTAACAGATCTAATGAGAGAAATTTGATACAATAATGATATTGCTCATAAATCTCAGCTGTCCTTTATCTTTCATTCATGCTTTAAAAAAAAGGACACAATATCATTAGGTTCATTAGTAAGGACCAGAACATGAAACCTTTGCTTTCCTCCATAATCCCAGAACTGCTATATGTAGGTTTTACACATTCCATTATACATACTTAGGTTCTGCATTACAAGGCAAAAATGTTGTGTAGCTGCTGAAAGGAGACATATTCAGCTCTAATGAGCATTTAAAGTGTAATTCAAAGAGAAGCAAAAGAGAGAATTCTGGTTTAGATTATATATTAGGGAGGTGCTGAGGCTCTGGCACAGGGTGCCCAGAGCAGCTGTGGCTGCTCCATCCCTGGAGTGTTCCAGGTTGGATGGGGCTGGAGCAGCCTGGGCTGGGGGGAGGTGGACCCCCCCATGGCAGGGGGTGGAACAAGATGATCCTTAAGGTCCTTCCAACCCAAACCAGACTGTGACTCTACGCTTCTACAAATGTGGTGCACAGAGGATTTCAGACAGCAGCATCACTCACAGTATCTCAGCAAACTATTAACCAGTCTAAGGTGTGTTTTGTACCTGCGCATTCCCCAACGTTTAGTGCTTAAAGGACATCAGTCTCAAGAGAATTCAGCCCTCAGCTGTCAAGATAATTTCCCAAGAGCAATTTTCAAGACAAGGCTTATGCTGAAGCTAAGGACAGACTTGGCAGCAGCCACAGCACAGAGAGCTCTGACTCAAGCCATGAGTTCACAGGCAGAGCTGTACCACAGCAATCCATTTCCAGACTAAGTCTGGTTCACCCTCAGCTCCTGTATCTTTGCACATCCCACCCAGTTAATCCAGGGATCAGAAAAACAATCCTGGGATCGCCAAGAGCAGTTGGCATGTGGGGGACAGGCAGGAGGTGGGACCTGGGGATGCTCACCCTTCCCCAGCACAGCTGGAGCAGGGACAGAGCTGAGCCACACACAGCCCACAGACACTCCCATCTACGCTGGTTTTCTCCTGACGGTTGGTTTGCTGGACCTCTACAAACACAGGCAAAAAGTAGATTCCCTTTACCCGACACATACTCTCACTTGGACTCTTTGAGATGAGCAACAGGTTGTGCTGTGGCCCTTCCTCCAGGATAATTTCTCTTCACAGAATCACCATATCAGTTAGGTTGGAAGGGACCACAGTGGATCCTTCAGTCCAACCTCCCTGCTCAAGCAGGATCACCAGTTCATGAAAACTTCCTGCAAGTTAACCTCTTTGAGACCAAAATCCCTGGGTGGAGATTGAAATTGGCCAACGAGGGGGCAAGCCACAGACACTCTAATCACATAAGCCTCATTTGTTTAGAAATGAGGCTAAAAACCAGATGTCTTCTAAGTATCTTAGGCACGAGTGTTTGCTGATGGGACATGACTAATCTGCTTAGTGCCTCGTTGCACAGAGAGGTCCTGAGACCCACAGCCTCAGCTGCCACCCTGAGCTGCGCCCAGCTGCACCTCAGGCACCGTCAGGCCACAGAGTACACTGCATTTCAGGGCAGTCAGCATGGCCCTCAGCCTGTCCTGGCCCCAATCTGTGAGTACACTGCATTTCAGACAGTCAGCAAAAAAAAACTGGCCCCAATCTGTGAGTACACTGCATTTCAGGGCAGTCAGCCTGTCCCTCAGCCTGTGCTGGCCCCAGCCTGTGAGCAGTGAACTTTGCAAAGCTGGCCCTGCGCAGCCCGGGCAGAGCACAGGGAGGCAGGAGCTCTCAGCCCTGAGGTGCTGTGCCCCTGTCCCAGCTGCTCCTGGCAGAGCCGCTCAGCAGCACAGACAGCAAACCCTCCGGACACAGAGCTGCCACTGGACTCGGCAAAGTCTGAGCAGCCTTGCTGCCTGCAGATGGTACATCACACAGTGAAATCTTCCTCTCCCCCATCTGCTGACAGCTCTGGGGAGCAGGGCAGGCAGGTCAGGGTGCCAGCCAGGAGCAGGGAAGATGGGATTACAGGAGGTGTGCAGCTTGCCAAGGTCACAGACTGAGGTACACGAGTTTCTTACTATATATTATTACAAAGCATTATATAGATTGAGATTAAATTCAAGAAAAACCAGGGACACGGCTCAATTCCTTAAGCAAACCCAGAGCTCACACCTTTTCTGCTTTTTAATAAAGTGACAGAGCAAAGCAGAAACGTTGCAAACACGCAGGATATCCTTTATTACGTGGTACAGCACGACTTGCCTCTGCAGGCTGCTGTAATTAGTGGGTCTGTCTAGCACCTCACTCCTCCTCTCTGGGCTGAATACTAATGCAGTGGCTGACAGCACCAGCATTTGGAAGCAGAAAGCACTGGGGAACTGGCAGTGCTGCACTTCCAGAACCAAAGGACACTTTCCAGAGGCCACTTGGAAGTTTCCCTGCCGCTGTGTTTTACCCCAGCTGGTTTGTTCTGAGGGGGTTTCCAGGAGGTGCAGTCTCAGAGTGATGGGAATTAAGCAGGAGTATCTCCGTGGAGGTTATTTACCCAGTGATAACTATCCAGCAAGATAAGTCTCCTGTTCATATCTTACACATATTATCTCTAATGGAGTAGCAGAGGTGTTATCCGGGCTGCAACAGGAGTTATTAAGGAATGCCAACACCTAATACACATATCCCCTGGCGTGGCCCACTCAACTGGTCTCTCCTCTACATCTTGTTCTGGACAATGCTGGTCCTCAGCAGATGGCCAGGTGTGACATCCTCCCTGCACAGACCTGTGCCAAGCCTTCAACCTTATCTGAGGTGATGTGTAGACAGGGCTGCCAAGCTTTAGGTGTTTAGGATGGCTGCTATAGCCTTGGCTGTCCCAACAAGCCTCAGGCCCAGAGCTCAGCTGGAACTGCAGAGATCCTGATTCAACCACCGACCTTCCCACTCATTTCCAGCACTCAAACAACCCCAAGCCCCTTCCTAAACGAGACATCCTCCAGACAGCCCATCCCTCCTGGTTTCAAACACGGTCACATACCCAAACTTCGGGCAGCACAGTCATTCACTCCTACGATTAAACTCCAACCCAAGAGTTCTCATCTTGTGCCAGTTCCTCGCAAATGCACAATTTAGATGCGTACGTAATTTGGACAAATAAATGAGGGAGCTGTGCAGGCACTTGGCAGCTCTGGGCAGGTTTTGGTCTCACTAGTGTCAAAGCACAACTCTCTCTTGGTGGGTAGTTAAGTGCTAGAAAGTAATTTGAAAAGTCTTCGTAAAAACATTAGCCCTGTTTTCCAAGGCAGTGTGCTGGGACAGGCCCAGAGACTTTGCTCTGCATAGCACAGAATGGGTTGGGTTGGAAAGGACCTTAAAGATCATCTAGTTCCACCCCCTGCCCTGGGCAGGGACACCTCCCACCAGCCCAGAGTGCTCCAACCCCTCCAACCTGGAACACTCCAGGGATGGAGCAGCCACCCCCTCTCTGGGCACCCTGTGCCAGAGCCTCATCACCTCACAGGGAGGAATTTCTTTCCAATATCGAATCTAACTGTCCCCTCTGTCAGTTCAAAGCCAGTCCCATCACTGCATAGCATTGTCAAAATCCCTCTCCACCTAGAATCACAGAGCCAACAAGGTTGGAGGAGACCTCTAAGATCAAGTCCAGCCATTAACCTGTCACTGCTGTAGCCCCTAACCCATATCCTCCAGCACCAGATCCAGACACCTCTTAAACACTTCCAGGGATGGTGACTGCACCACCTCCCTGGGCAATATTCCTGTACCACAGGAATGCATAGAAGGTAACACCAGTTACCTTCTTGTACGCCCCTTCAGGTACTGGAAATCTCCTGTAAGGTCTCCCCAAAGTCTTCTCCTTTCCCCCAGGAATTCCATATCCTCCTTTGTTCTCACAAGGACTTGGCTGCAGCATCCCTTGCACCATGGAAGAGGGCATGAGATTGCCAAGCAAAACCTTCCTCAGCACAATAAATGAACATGTATTGCTACAACAAATTCTACATTCACAATCCCTCCCCTCCCTTTCATTTCCCCTCCTCACTCAATTTCTCTCTCTGTATTTGCTTTTCTCTGCCTCAGGCTTATGTCAAGTCATTTGAATTCACTGCAAATACTTATCTGTAGTTCCTTACCTGAAATTCATTATTTACTGTGCTGTTCAGTTAATAGTAAATACTGATTGCTCTGAGGACAGCTCATTTGTTTGTTTAATGACCTGCCTTTAACTTCAACTCAGCAAATCTTTCAAAACATCACTATTTCCAAGGAGCAAAGCAGTTCCAGGTCCTTTTATTACATCCCCTTGCTTCCAGAAGGATGGAATAAAAATACCGGACACCCAAACAAGAAAAAGAAAATAGATTTCCATTTAACTCATCACCTAGTGAACAATTTTCCCTGCATGTAATTACTACATTAAAATTGCTCATAAATAGTAGCAGGGTGACAGCCAAAATTCCCAGATTACCATCTACTGCTTCCAAGAGAAATTATATTGCACTGCTAAGCATGACATCAACCTCAGCTGTTTGGTTCCCTATTCATATGTAAGGTTTGGTCCTTGTTTAATTCCTGTACAGCACAAATCTTCAGCAAAGGACTGGATTCCCACTGCTGTATCTCTGGGCTGAGCTTTTCATTAGCTG